TAGACTTATTAGGTTGGTTGGTTGTTCATGGTACAAGTGCTGTCATGAAATAGGCCTTCGATGATAGGATGATCCTTGATGGCGCTATTGGGCATAGACTTATAAACCATATTGTCATATGATATCGCATTACGCTACGCGTGGCAATTTTTCCTTCAGAAATTTGGTCAGCGACAAAAAATACACTTTCACCACCCCTGCCGTAGTGTTATAGTCAAGGGGGCCAATTCCCCGAAAAAATTAGGCGGTCTCATTAGTGTTGAAAAGAGGGGTCGAAATTAGTTTTAAAAAACGAGACCATCCCAAGTTTGCTTGACAACGTTCACTCTTCTGCAGAAACGACTAATGAAACAAACTACCAAAAGGTGTTGGCCTACGGGCCCACAATCACGGAATGGAGGACAGCGATAGCCTGGGTTGCAGTTTCCATATAACCGAAAGGCGTTGGCCACTGCAAGTAGCACCAGGCGGCGGGTGCCGTGCGCGCGAGAGCCATCGTCGCGGAATGATACTTCCGAATGTCTTAGACAATTAAATCGTGCCGTTCAAAGATCAGGATCACTGCCGTTCGTATATGTTTCACAACTTTAAGGATGTCCTCCTTACAGATTAACAGGTATTGGGATACGAAAAATAGAGATTGTACCCTTTCTCCTCCAGGTCCACCACCAGATTCTAGCATCACGTTGGAGTGTTGTAAAGGCCGTTTAGTTCATCAACCTAAAGATCGCAATGGTGAAATAGACGTACAGCTACTTTCTAAATGTGCGGTTTGATGTCCTAAAGAACTCAAAGGTACTTCTGTCAAATGTGTTGTCATTTTTGTCCATTCGATGGCCACGGCTCAGTGTAAGTCGCAGGGCCGGTAATACGCGTTGCACGATTTGTATCACTAATCAGTTCTGACTGAATGTTGAGCATTTCCATACAAATATGGCTTGGCAATGTCAACGCAAATTGTTCACCCTTTCCGATCTGTATTTGCGGGGTCCTTAATATCTCTGCACAGTCCAGTTCTATTGGTTTAGAAAGAGTTCACTGGATCATTGTAAAACGAGTAGCGCTAGTGAGAATTTCATGCAGTTATTTAACGCACGATGTCTTCAGCTGACTGACTATGAAATTCAGGCAAAATTGATGTTGCGGTAGTTTTTGGATTCTATTCAAGCTATACAAAGCGAAAACAAGCCTTCATTAACAAATGGACCATATTCGGTAATTTTCTTTTGGAGGGTCTTCTGAACATCAGAGGGCCCTTTGTCAATCCTGCGTCCCTTCCTTGCCAGGGCTCTGGCTGCGCGCCTGTTCTGAAATATAGGGGCCCATCGGTTCGGTTCCCTTCGCTTAGGTGTTTGCCCCCTCCCCACCCCAAATTCGGATACGCCGCCCCTTCACTGCGGCCATTCTCATATAGCCTTTAAATACCAGAGGGTTCCAGCCAACACGAGATGCCCTCTTACATTCGATACCCCGTCCATATCTCCGCTTTGTGAGTGCCCCCTGACCGACTCGGAGCCCTTGCAGACATGGTTTCCCTCGTTAGGCACTGCGCACCCCCTGGCCGACACAGACGCACCCAATGTCGCAAAGATCTCGACCAATGCTGGAGGCCCTGTGACTGGCATTCGCGGACCCCGGCCTTGTTCTTGCTTGGAAAATGTCCACCTGGACAGCGAAGCGCCGCTTGTCTGGCATTTGCAGACTCTAGCCAACAGCTATACCCTCTATTCATCCCATGGGGAGGGGATTGGTGCAGGAGGCCCTCTGAATGACATTCGAGGGCCCCGGTCCGCAGGACCGTAGTTTGTGGTGTATGTGACCTCCGGCCAGTCACTGGTGCTCTACGTCCCTCGGTACTATTATCTCAATTGGTACTATTTTCTTTGGATTTCAGGAGGCTTTCGACCCCTCGGGAGCTACGGGGTTGCGCATTCCCCCTGTGCTCCGTGTCTGTGTCCTTAAGCCCACCAGTAGTCAGGGCTTTTTGAGCGGCAGGGGTACTTTGAGCTGTCAAAAGGCCTCTGCACAGCCAACAAGAACCTGCTTGTCCAGATGGTCATAAGCATGCAAACGAATAGGTCTGGTGATCAAACGGGCTGATGATCGGCCAGTAGGCCGTTAACACGCAGACGAGCCATTAGGCGGCGAGAAGGACCCTCAATAATCACAAGTGCCTATTTGTGACCGGAGGTGCTCTGGGCGACCAGTAAGGCCGCTGAGAAGTTAGAATAGAACGCCACTGGTTAGGAGCTCCTCAATAGCCAGAGGAACCCTTCAGTGACCAGGAAGGTCCTGAACAACTAAAACAGCCCATGAGCAGCCAGAGGCTCTGAACACACGAAGCCTTGAGCGAACAATGCGACCTCGGAGCGACTAAGGAGCCCATAGACAGGCAGAAGGTCACATTGGTGTTCTAAAGAACTTGTGTTCATAAAGGCCAGAAAGCTTTAAGCTATATAATAGCTTATAGCTCTTAGCTTCATGTAGCCAAGAGCTATATAAAGCTATATAATATTAAGTAGCTATAAAGGTTCTTAAGCAACCGGTGTATGGATGAATGAAAAGGTGGGTGAGGGGTTAGGGGGCCGTGCTCCCTCCACACAAACATTTCAAGGGGGCTAGTATTGTTAACCGTTCCCCGCCCTACCTTTTCAGGTTCAAGTTTCGTTTAGCCTGCTTTTACACCACCTTAAATATGCATGCCGATTTATCTAGTTCACCAACCATCTTCCTCAACCTGCACTGGACACGACTACCTTATGTGGTAAATGGCAGCACCTTATCCTATCGTGTGTGGCGAACCGATATATGTAGGGCCAAGCCCCAACCTACAACATTCTTCTAGTACCAAGGGCTCACTTTCATCTCTCTATATAACTTCGGCTTTTCTGCATGGCTGCTCGCGGTCCCATCAGCCTGTGTTCATGGAGTTCAAAAAAGCGTGATGTATCCCTCTAAGAGCTTCCGGATCGACCAGCGCCTGCGCTGCTGGAATAGCAGCCGGAATGCACTTTCCTCTGGGACGGAATGGCCCTTCAGCACTGGACTGGTAAGAACTAGACTGGTAAAACATGGAAAACGTAAGGGGTCTCAGAAATGTTGAAGTGAGTGGATCGGGACAAGGTCAAATTTAGAACGTCAGCCTATCATCGCCTCAAAACGTCCCTTCTTTTGAAAAATAGAGAAGCGAAACCATTGACATAAAATGCTTTTAGCCCATGAACGCGTGCACTCTAACTGGGATGTAGTCTCGTAAAACCGAACGGCGACGGTCGCTGCAGGCATCACCAGACGGTGGGCGGCGTGCGCGAGATAACAACCGTCGTGGATCAATAGTTCATAAAGTCTTTCAAAATAAATCTGAACCAATCAAAGATCACGGTGGAGCGTGTGTTCTGAATAATTCTGAGGGGGTTCCCTGGTTAGCACGCGCTCGGGTGACCGGTTCGACACTCTTCGTTCGGGCGGAGGAGGAGGTTGACCCCACTGAGATCTCAGAAACTAAGCGAGCTAATGACACCAAATTCACATGATGTATTCACCTGTACGGGAACTCATTTAGGCCAAAGTTTGAGGTTCCTTAGGTTAAGACCCTTGGGTCAAATAAGGTCAAATTTCTGATTGGTCTCCAAAGGGCCCTAGAACCTAGATAACTGCTGAAAACGAAAGGTCATATTCTCATTCAAGGTCAGTGACCTGGTTTGGCGTTTTGAAAGTTATGGTGACCAAAGTCATGCAAGACTGCTTTGAATTTTGCAGTTGGATAAGCGGCAAAAATTACGCTAGGTAGTATTTCCTAAAACAAAATGTTGACCTGCTCATTTCAGATCAGTGACCTATTATGACCTTTGAGAAGTCCATGGAAAGGAGACAATGCAGTTCCTGTTATCAGAAAATTTGAAATGAGCGCTGGCAACTACCCCATATAGTAAGTCCTAGAGTAATAAAACAGGTGGTTTTTGGCCTTGGTCTGATCTTCATACCGGACCCTAGGTCAATGTTATTTGTTTATTCAATTGTTTTGCTACCTAAGAAAGTATCTCAGAAATGTATGGCGTCGTCTAACATTCCGTTGTTGGATCACATTGAAGGACTCCATAGAAATGCCTTTCGCTGAAGCCATGGCCAACTTTGACCTGCCATAGGTTAGCGACCTTACATGGTGCACCTACATCTTTGATGCCAGACAATCTGCTTCTTGTTTCTTGTTTATCTTGTTTATCTTTATCTTGTTTATGTTTCTTGTTTATCTTGTAATCACTTGTTTACATCTATGCAAATTTGGCGCGGCTACGCTAGGTCGTTCGGAAGCTATTCCTGAAAAACCTTCGGGGGCCAATTTGTACCCCACCCGAGCGCGTGTCAAATTACCAGTTGCAGCAACAATAAAAACGGAGAATTTGCCTCCTATCTTGCAGTATCACCATCATATTTCAGCACCATTTCTCGTTGTTGTAAGGGCTAGTCCGTCTTTATTATCAATTAAGAGATGTTGTAGGTGAAATACATGACCGAATTACTGTCTAAACGTGCGAATTAAGGCTCTAAAGCGTTCGCGCATGCTTTTTCAGATGCGTGATTTTTCGTCTGCTCGTTGGCCACCGCTTAGTGTCTGCCACGGAACCGACACCGCGAGACATATGGAGGCTGCAACGACGGGCGTCAAGATCGTTGCAAGATTTGCGGGCGCACATACCCAAAACCACGTTTCATATGTTTTCTCAGCGGTCGATTCTGACCGCATGCGCCAATTTTTCAGTGACGTGTTTTGAATTGGACTATGGAATTAAATCTCCTCATAAAATGTTCCATCGCCCCTGGCTCAGTCCCCCGTGAAGACCCATGTTCGGAGCTAGGACGCAGTCCGCCGCAGCTTCATTTATGATGACCTCGGATTGTAAGGAATTCTTCAAAACTCGTCAAACTTTTCCTATGAAATGCCCGCATTCAAACAAAACGGACTTCGTCTTTTTCTCCAGGCCTCAAATCCGCCACATCGCCAGCCTTGATTACAGTTGTCTGCTCTAACGCGGTGAAAGGGCAGGAGCGGGTGTCGTTTACCACAAACCTGCGATGAAGTACTTGGCCGCCATCACTTTTCTTACAGTATTTTCTTCATTCATTATTGCAAGTAGGTGCTATTGTATTGATCCTGTCGCCTCATATTTGATATTGGTAAATGTGTTCCGTGCGCTAAGGGTAACGCGTATGTGGATTGTAGCAAGGCCTAGGCGCCTTCAACCATTTTATGATGTGTATTAATAAGATATTATACTTTTAGATCTGAGGAGGTGAAATAGTCTCCTGCTTAACTGAGTAACACCGAAAAATAAGGGAAACATCGGTAACTGGCTTTTGCTAGTCCAGAAGGTAATTGTGATCCCTAGGTACTTCAAAAACTCAACCATGGCCATATATGTGATGATTTTTGTTGTAGGATGAAGCGTGGTCCTTGATAACCATAGCTTTTTCAATCAGCATTTCATTATTACAATAGAGTAATTCAGAGTCAACATTTATTGCTTATAATATATTATAATGTCATTAATCAATGCCTCCCCAATCTGCCAGAAGTCTATTATTAGCACCAGAGGCCTTTGTGACATTTAGGCATGTGCCAAACCTGATTTATGTATATACCTGGCACACTTAAGGTTATTCAGTGCTGTATGCTGGAATCTTTGTTACTTGAGCACAATTATTTGAATGTGTCATGATATGCATGCCAGAAATTTTTCCAAACCATTATAATATCTTGAAACAAGTTCTCACATGCTGAGGGCAAGGGCAGTTTTGCATGAAGCTTGTGATAAACAGATTTATGGGATGTGGTGGAATTTTTGCTGTAATTTCACAACCCAGGAGATAAGTAGTGACACTCATACTTTTTGCCATCTGGGTGTTGTGCTGGGTCATGTTGACCCCATATCAGGTTGACATGGCCAATGAGCAATTTACTTGCAAACAGTTCATGAGGAAGAATTCTGGCATGGAAAATATGGCAGTGACTTGTCTACCATAAATCATCACACATCCCTGTGTTTAAGCAGCCAAGCCAGCCAAGCTCTGTCTTGGGCAGTTTAATTAAGTAGGGTATGTGCAGTCAAAATTGATGCTGTCAAAATAATATGAGTGGTGTGGCCTTGCATGGGAAAGTGAATAACGCATGCTGCCTCATTGCACTTTAGTAGATATAGATCAGTGCTACAATCTTGAGTGTAACAATCTTGTGTGTGCTTTTGTGTATGAGTGCTGCAGTCCCATTTCCAGATGTGTTGTGTGCAATGCACCCATGCTGTATTTGCCTTCTGTACAGTGTGACCTTGCTGTCTCCACAGTAGGCAGCCTGACATTGTATGTGTTTTGTGTACAGTGTGATCCTTCTGTCTCCACAGCCAGCAGCCTGAAGTGCTATGTCTGCACGTCGGGGAACCATACTGCTTGCGAAGACCCGTTCGACGCGAAGCGAGCCAACGCGGCCGGTTTCCTGACACACTGTATGGAGCCCACCGAGCGCGGCTTCAAGACCCTCTGCCGGAAAACACACCAGACAGGTCAGGGATCAGTTGGTGCTTGGAGACAGGGCTGTCTTTGATAGCTTTGTCTCTTTGATAGGTAACTTTTTTAAGAGGGTTTTCAGACCTAGCTGTCTGGAGAGAACATCAAAATTTACCCGATGGAACTTCGGCTATTTAGGTGATCCTCGGGCACTGTGAGACTGTGGTGAAAGTGCTTAGAAGGTAAGGGTAGGAAAATCTAGCCATGTTGACGCAGGGGCGAAAGTTGTCACAAAATGGCAGGATTGCTACGATTTGGTATGGAAACATGGACCTTTGGCATTGCCTTAGTGGAAGCTTGTGTTAAAAACGTAATGCAAAGGACCTCCACCTACGAAACATTGCAAAATGTATGAATCACATACTACCCTTGCAGCGTTAAAACCAACGCAAATCTCAGGACCGAAGACTACCAAAACAACGATAATGTATGGCCACGGGCGGCGGTGCTGAGAGCCTCTCTGTGTTGCAGTGCTGGGCAAGGTGCGGGTGATACGGTCCTGCGGATTCGTCAATAGCTCGGAGTCCTGTTACCGCACTCGCAACGCCGAGGTGGTGGTACGCTCGTGCCAGTGCTTCGGCCCCAAGGATGGCTGCAACGCCGCCGGCCTGGCGCATCTGGCTCCGGCGGCGCTGCTGCTGGCCGCCGCCCTGCGCGCCATCTTTTGAGCAGGATGGGGAGTCGCGGCTCGCGGACGCCTCGCGGGATTTGCTCGGCTCTGGCGGCGCTTGGTGTTTTGTTCGCTGCGGTGGTCTTTACGCCAAGGAGATGCGCTGCGTTTAGGATCGTATCATTCCCGTATGATCTCCACCGCGAGTCGGAAGCGAGCGTGTTTTATCGATTCTCAGGCTCAAACTAGTGCTCCAGTTCTGTTTCTCAGACGTTCGTTTCGTTTTCGTTTGTTATGTGTGGACGTGATAAGTTCCCGACCGTTCGGCGCAAGGTATTATTTCTCAGGTACTGTTAATTGCGACGGGCGACAGAGCCGTGCGATGTGCCGTCGACCGCAGCCGTGGCGTGCCGCGGCCGCGCGCGTCCCAGACCGCGCTGTAGTTCTGTATAGAGTTGTAGATGGGGGCCTAGATGGCCCCATAGTGGCGGCGGCCGGCCGTCCCCGGCGCCGCCGCCGGGCACAGCGCACCCGTAGTGCTGCTCCGCACCGTCTTCCGGCCCCGGCGCCCGGGGTCGCCCGTCCTTCCGTCCCTTCCCCGCCCGCCACGTTGTCCGTTCATGGGCTGAGGTGGTGAAACCGTCGCCCTTCTCCCTTTCTGCCCTGCGCCTCGCCGCGCCTCTGGCCCGTCGGACTGGCGATATTTTCTAGGCTTTTAGTGGAGGACGCGTGGTGCCTGGCGCGACCGTCAGCGGCCTCAAGGCATGTTTCAGGGGTTTGTTTCAGTATTTGTTCGGTCCAAACCACTGAATTGTTTTACGCCGTCCAGAGTTTTAGAATGTCTGCGTGGTAGTGAGATGCGCCGCTGTACCATGTGCCGTTTACACAGTTCCCAGAAGGTGAGCACGGCGCCGCATCTCGCTATCTTATCCTGCTGTATGTCTTTCCTGCCGCCCGCCCTCGGCCGGAACCCGATGCGTGTCAACACTTAGACTGGTATTACCCGCGGGTAAAGCGCTACGGCTACAACATGTACATTAATACTCAATATGTGTTAGGTTAGGTGGCTGTCTGAATGCAGTAGAATCAAGTGCCTTTTGTTTTGTAGAGGGGCGATAGCGTGAGCGTGCGTGTGTGTGTGAAAATATACATGTGCAATATATAGCTTCATCTGGCTTTGCCTCTGTGGTCGAGAATTGATTCAGATAAACGAGACCAGTCTGCTTTCTTTACAAATCCAGCGTTTGTGAGGTGAAAAGTCTTCAAACCTGCTGGGGAGGGGGAATGTAGAATGATTCCCACCGTCCGAAGGGGCGGAAGTGGGCGCCTCGGCTTTATTGCTGAATACTGAATGGCTTTCTGCAAGGCCGGCTATAAGGGCGATGCAAATACTGTGCAAATTGTGCAAACAAACGTACTGTGATTTGACCAAGCAACTCCACGTCCTAGATTGAATTAACTTTGTTTTTCTCGGTCTCATACGAGTGTGATAAACCTTTGTTTTTCTTCCTTTCCGATTATCTTTAAAAAATACCATCTATGGCTTAAAATGTTGACCAATTTCTCTGCAAAATGCTCCAACTGCAGACTTGCACATATTTCACACATAACTTGGATTCCTTCGCCGGCCGCCCAAGCATGTTTGATGTGCACTCAAGAGTGCGTAAATCATGGCGAATGAAGGAGACAATTTGAATAACGGGACTTAATTTTACCGTCGTTTTTTCATGTTAAACCTCCAGTTAGGCTCAGTCATGATAAATCTAAACCTTTCCAGCTTCATTGCCTCAACACGTTACATTAGCCTGCGGCACGCTGAACGGCATGTATGTGCGGCAGACAGCTTCGGGACAGAGCTGGCGCAGCTAATACAGAAGTGTCTGATAGCGAAATTCTGCCGGTTCCGCCCATCGAAACGGCCTTCTCACGCAGGCCTCCTATTACTTATTTTACATTTTATTGTTGTAGGTTGGTGGGCATGATTTATATTCATATTTTGTGGGTGGTTTGGATGACCCTGTCTGTCACCAAATGGCGCGTAAGATACAGACTTTTTGTGTGGGGAGCAGAGAGAAGACAGCCTTTAAAAGGCCAGAAAGCTTCTTTTGTGGAGCAACCGATTGCTAACATTTCCTACTTTCGACACATGATTTGTAATCATATTTAGCCATTTTTTGTTTTAATCTGTCAAGTTTTTTCATAAAACAAATTATGATATCAATAGACACGTAATCGAACTATGTCTTTCCATACGTTTGGTTATTTGCCTCAACTTCGTTTAAGTGGTCCCTCATGTCCGCTGTAGTGAGATATTATCCATAGTTGCCATGGTTTTCTAACTGGTAAATGGCACTGCAGATACGCATCATATTTATAGCACCGGGTACTCTAAGCTGCATACAAATTACAGTATGAGGTAGATATCGGTTTTTAGCAAACAATCAGACCAATGTTATTAAGGTGAAGGCGACATCGCAAAATTTAGGCCATCAAATATGAAAAACAAAACCTAAACGGATGCCTTTGCTGCAGCTAAAAAGGCAAGCGGCAAAACGGGTTTTGTGGCCATCTGTAATTTATGTTACTATTGCAGGAGAGAGATTGTTATGAGCCCATGACACAGACTTGCCATGGCAATCAGAATAATTCTTTGAAAGGGATTTGAAGGGTTTTGATTTATTGTGTTCCAGTTTTTCTAGTGCCAACAAGCGAAAAAGCAACTGAATTAAACCCCAAAAAGTTGAAACCAGCTAAAAATGGTATTCAAGGGGTTCCGGGTGCCCGTGCCACTCCCTCCCCCCCCCCCCCTTATCAAATCTGTGGATGCAGGTGAACGAATATTTACATCTTTAAAACCGCAGAACGCGTATTAAAATAAATGTACTGAAAACAAGTGATGTCATACGCGACACCATGCAAGAAACTGCTCGCCTGCGCCGTGCTGCAATGTGATGTAGAGGGTCTGGTCCGTCTTGGCCTGCGCTGTCTACTCCTGACGAGGCTGGACCGCGGCCCAGCCGCAGCTGACGTCAGAGGGCAGGTCGGCGCGTGCGGAGAACTGCGGCACGTTAAGCTGTCGTCCCAAAATTCAAGCCAGCGATCCGGAACTTGACGGGCAGATTGAGTTCGGGAATTACGTCACGCCCACTGCTTAACATGGGCGCTGATCCAGAATTGCATGCGTGCAATCAAAAGGTTCGTAGTGAGCGTCAGCGCCATGTGTTGTCACCACAGTGAAGTTGGCCCCTCCCTTGTCAAAATCTTGCATCCGACCCCGTTTGCGACCATAGCTGAACCACGAGTAATAAGTTGTCCATGGAACAACATTGTGCATTAAACAGCATTACGCGGGTGCTGCCGCGGTGATGCCTAACAGCCCAAAATATAATACGCAGCCCCCACCCCCACCCCCTCCAAACAAAAACGTCGGTTGGCTGCCAGCCAAAAGGAATGCACGGATTTTATCGAGAAAGGGGTTATCATGCGCTATGAGAAGTAACCCAAGCGGTCGCCAGATGTCACTAGCAGACAATCCCACATGCCCGATTCCAGCTGGGATCGAGTTCTCATTAAGGTCTGCTTTCGTCCGCATTAAAGCTGCCACAGGCCGTGCTGGTACGCCCATGCAGCAGTTTGGCAACTACTGTCGAACGAGAACGGTGCACCACTGCACTCTCAGCACATCGCGATACGGCCGCCATTGCTCGGCTGCCGACGTGCGCGCCCGCCACCGCCAGCCCCGACCTGGTGTACCCGGAGCAGTGCCCGTCGGCCGGTGTACCCGGTGTACCTGGTGTACCCGGAGCAGTGCCCGTCGGCCGGTGTACCTGGTGTACCTGGTGTACCCGGAGCAGTGCCCGTCGGCCGGTGTACCCGGTGTACCTGGTGTACCCGGAGCAGTGCCCGTCGGCCGGTGTACCCGGTGTACCTGGTGTACCCAGTGCACCCGGTGTACCTGGTGTACCCGGAGCAGTGCCCGTCGGCCGGCTCACGTCTCCTGAGGGTCCGAGCCTCCGCCCCAAGACCTCCTTATCCCCTCCCCCCCCCCACACACACACACGCGGGAGCTATGTCCTGTCGGGCGGTGCCGGTGAGTCGGCCTATACCTATCTGAGGGTCCGAATCTCCATCCCAAGGTCCCCCCTTCCTCTCCGCCGTGGCTGACGCGACTCGTACGCGACCGGGGCATTAGTGATCTGCACACGCGCTGCACGACTCGGTCTGTAGACTGACGCCACCTTACACGCCTGTCCACCGAACAGGAGGCGTGGCGGTCCACGGGCTGTGCGCGGTACCGGTCAGCAGTTTGCGGGAGGCGGAGTTTACATTTCTAACAGCTATTGCTTGCAGTTTTAGTTCTTTCCGTGAGCATCCTTCTCTTACCGTCACAATCCCAGCTCTGAATGCAAACAAGCTGCCAAGGCCCAGACGCCAGCGCCGGCACAGCGACCTGAGGGGCCGCCCACCGGCACAGCGACCTGAGGGGCCGCCCACCGGCACAGCGACCTGAGAGACCGCCCACCGGCACAGCGACCTGAGGGGCCGCCCACCGGCACAGCGACCTGAGAGACCGCCCACCGGCACAGCGACCTGAGGGGCCGCCCACCGGCACAGCGACCTGAGGGGCCGTCCACCGGCACAGCGACCTGAGAGACCGCCCACCGGCACAGCGACCTGAGAGACCGCCCACCGGCACAGCGACCTGAGAGACCGCCCACCGGCACAGCGACCTGAGGGGCCGCCCACCGGCACAGCGACCTGAGAGACCGCCCACCGGCACAGCGACCTGAGGGGCCGCCCACCGGCACAGCGACCTGAGAGACCGCCCACCGGCACAGCGACCTGAGGGGCCGCCCACCGGCACAGCGACCTGAGGGGCCGCCCACCGGCACAGCGACCTGAGAGACCACCCACCGGAACAGCAACCTAAGAGGCCGCTCACCAGCACAGCGACCTGAGAGACCGCCCACCGGCACAGCGACCTGAGAGGCAGCCGCCGCCGCTCGGAAGAGTAATCTGACGGCCCGCTTCAAAGGGACAAAGACCACACACTTTGGCGAGGCCGGTGTTGATTAACCGCTGGTATCGAGCAGACCACCTGGGTAGGTAAATTTCCGCCGCGCAGCGCGAACACCACCGCCGCGGAGCCGCCTTCCGGTAAGCGCAGAAACACCTGGCCGCGGTCGCAAGGTCAGCGGCCCGGAAACCGTGACGTCAGAAGTGGATCACATGACGACAGACGATGGCCGGTAAAGCGCCGGAGGCGAGCGCGGCACTCCTGAGTCAACGAGAGGAGCTGCGGTGAGGTGACTCGCCGCAGGGCGGCCCGGAAGCGGTCCGAGCAGATGGCCGCAACACCGGCCGGGCTGGCACGGTACAGGGGAATCAGGAGCCAGGGAAATCGGAGAAAACGCAGAATCGTGACGGGATGGAGCAAGCTTGGGCGACCCCACTAGGGTACTCCTGTGGGTGCTTAGTGGACGGAGGCGGAGACCGACCATCTCTGCGTCCAACGCCTCAAGACATAATACAAGTGCGAGAAAGAAACAAAGCAACTGAACAGTGAATGATCTGCTCTTTCCTGTTCCTATCCGTTCAGTTATGCCCCCCACTTAGCCCCCCCACCCCCTACCTGTGGCGCAATCCGTCTCATCATGAGTCCAGCGTGTGGCGCGATGTAAATCACTCATTACTGAAGCGTTCGGGGGCCGGGGGGATGGGCGCGCGTCAGAGGGATGAGGTGGGCAGGGTATGATGGGGACGGAGAGAGGCAGAGGGATGGGGCGGGCAGGGTGTGATGGGGACGGAGAGAGGCAGAGGGATGGGGCGGGCAGGGTGATGGGGACGGAGAGAGGCAGAGGGATGGGGCGGACAGGGCACGATGGGGACGGAGAGAGGCAGAGGGATGGGGCGGGCAGGGTATGATGGGGACGGGGAGAGGCAGAGGGTTGGGGCGGGCAGGATATGATGGGGACAGAGAGAGGCAGAGAGTTGGGGCGGGCAGGATATGATGGGGACGGAGAGAGGCAGAGGGTTGGGGCGGGCAGAGTGTGATGGGGACGGAGAGAGGCAGAGGGTTGGGGCGGGCAGGATATGATGGGGACAGAGAGAGGCAGATGGCTGGGGCGGGCAGGATATGATGGGGACGGAGAGAGGCAGAGGGTTGGGGCGGGCA